CTGCCCTTGGTGGACAGCAATGAATTCTCTTTTTTATCCCCCCACTTGTTACTGTGCACAGYAAATTCCCTTTTTTGGCACAGCCTGGCAGTGGTGCCCCAACTCCCTGCCATCCCCTCCTGGCAGCAGCACCCTCAGCTCCAGGGCCCTTCTTCACGTGCACAACCCTTTCCATGTTTGTTCTTACCCAGGTGTGGAACAGACTCAGGCATGAGAGCCTCACTCCAGGCTTACCCAAACACCTTGGCCCAGCCCAGGCTGTTGTGTAAATGCCCACCTTGTCCCACAGAGCGTGTGATGCTCCAGTGCAGTTCTGATTTCCTCACAGCCACCTCAAGTGTGGCTGTATTWTTCTGGGAACAGTACAAGAACTGTTCCATTTGAAAGCAGATATTCGTCTCACAGAATGATACCAGAATGTAAAATTTATGCTGTTTATTTTAGGGCAAATGACAGCTAGCAGGAGTCACTGAAGAGCTKCAGTTGATGGGGTAGGCTGGGTCGGCCGTAGGAGAAGTAGGGCTGGTGTGATCTGAGTTTTGTTTGGTTGATGGTGTTGCTGTTTTGGCCGGAGGGTGCAGGACCATGGAGCTGCTGTGGTTCAGGACACTGGGGCTGCTCCACAGCACATGGGCATGTAGTCAGAGGCTCTTTGCAGCCAGCCTCRGGAGCGCTGCACTGCTCTCTGCCTTCAGAAACCAAGGACTGTTCTTTTATCGCTCTACCATCTCTTCCAGGGTTCACCATTGAGTTTTCTTAGCTCATATTCACTTGATTGATCTTACAAAYGATACCTTATTTTATATTGGCTGTGAACCCAGATAACTTAAAGCCAGGCCCTACTGAAAACAGCAGATGACTTTCCACTGCCTTCAGAAAGCACTGGGTGCTTCTGCTCACTCGACAGCATCCTGTTCTTCCTTAGCATTGCATGTTTTCCCTGGCTTGAGAAAGCAACCCATGGCAACAGGAGATGCCGAGGGAATGTTTGGCAGCCCCTGCACMCACAACACTGCACACAGCTGGGTGCTGGGCTCTTCAGACTCAGTGTCCTGCACAGACATTTCAGAGAGTTTGGGCAGGGGTCTTTTTTTACCTTAGGCCACTAATCCCTGTAGGTTTAAACTGATGCCCTGTTCAGCAYCCAGGGATCTTCACTGGTGGACAGAGAGAAGCAGTCACGGCTCAGCATAGTGCTGGTTTTGGGGAAGGGTGAGAGCACCTGCCCTTAGAGGACGAGGCTCTGGTGCTGATTGCCTTGCCGGGTTCCACACTCCTTGCCTGGCCTGTTCCCAGTGCTGATTGTTCGCAGCATGTTTGCAGCATGCTCTCTCTGTGATAGCTTCTTTAATCTTCTGTTGTTTTCTGTTTTCAAGCTGTCCCATCAGGGGTTTGTTGCCCTGATTCCTTCCCACTTGCTCTTTTCCCTCTTCCTCTATGCTCCCCTTATCCTCCAGTCCCTTTTTGTCCCTTAGCCTTGTGCATCCTGGCCCAGCCCCAGCAGACATCAAAGAGCTGTAAGGGGTTGAATGTCCCTTTTGTGAGTCGATCACCTTGCCCTGTCTCTGTGAATATTCATATGTCTCCGGGCTGCGGCAGCCCCGGGGTGAAGGAGCACCTCCACTACCGGTGGGTCTGCGGTGCCAAATTTGAGCAGAGCKAACTGCTTTGGTTCAGTGATACCCTGCAGCAGCAGATTTTACAGGTTAATTCCAAACCACTATGAAGAGTTGCACCTTTTTGTACTGCTCCTTCATTGGCTTTTGATTCCCCTCCTCCCCAAGTCCTGGGGCAGCAGCACACCCGGTATTTTTCATGTAATTTTGGTGCCCTTTTCTTGATTGCTTCTTGTCATATTCTTTCCAGTCCAGATGAATTCAGTCATTTCACTCCTGATTTTTCATTTAATTTCAYTGGTGTGGAGCCAGCCTTTGTTCCAGGTGTTGACCTCCAGCACCCTCCACAAAAGCACCATGGTGCAGTATTTGCATCTGTAAAGCGGTGCAAGCCCGGGAAGGCAAGCACGGCTCTGTGCAGGGGGGAGCTGGTGCTGAGCTCTTGGGGCTCCTCTTGCCTTCGGGAGGCTGGAGGAGGCTGTGGGGCCAGGGGAGCACAGTGCCCACAGGGGCCTGACCCCTCTCCTCCTCCTCTGGCCGGCCTGGGGGCACCATCGCACCCTTTGTGTGCTCGCACAGATTTCAGCTGAGGTGGGAAGATYTGTCACAGTCTGATGAAAGGATGTGCATCTGGGCAGAAAACATCTCAATCACTGAACTGGGAATTGGATGAAATTGGGAATTTGGATTGCCCAAAGCCCAAGGAACGTGATGGACAAATGGCAGGGAAGAAGTGTTTCTTTCAAACCGCTGGAGCCCACAGCTGAGCTCCCGGCCAGCGGGATGGTCACTGCCTCCTCACAATCTACCGGGCTCCAAAGTACRCTTCAAATACATGAATAGTCATGACCTGCGGGGAGCAGCTGAGCTGCAGCAGTTGAATTTCAGCCTCAGCACAGGCAGGTGAGAAGTGGAGCTGAACTGACATCTCCATCTCGAGAGGTGTGCGAGAGGCGACAGCGCAGCCCGAGATCTGCCGTGAGATCGAGTCAGGATCAGGGCTCAGAACATCTTCTCTTACATCGAAGGCTTTGTTTATTGCAATCAGCTGTTTTGATTTCTTAATTCAAGAGTAAAGCCTTCTGGCACTGAGGTTGTGGGATAATAAATGAGAGGATAATTCAGTGCAGTGGGAGCTCCTCGGTCATCTCTGGCAGCTCCAACAGCAGCTCCGGGTGGGTTCCTGTGTAGGTGTGAGTGTGTGGGCACCTGTTGCCTTTGCTCTCTTGCTGACAATACATAAGCCTAAGTAGGTCAAACAGGAACAATRCTCATTTTTAAAAGAGAACTATAAGCATTTCTGGTTTCTCTCTCTCCCTCTCTTTTCTTTCTTTTTTTTCCCCAGGACTTTAATCTTTTATATGAAGAAGCAAAGTATTACCAGCTGCAGCCAATGATTAAGGAACTTGAGCGATGGAAACAAGAGAAAGAACAAAGGAAACATTTCCAGCCTTGTGACTGCTTGGTTGTAAGAGTAACTCCAGATCTGGGGGAGAGAATTGCATTGAGCGGGGAGAAGGCTTTGATAGAAGAGATCTTCCCGGAGACCGGGGATGTGATGTGCAACTCGGTGAACGCAGGCTGGAACCAGGACCCCACGCACGTCATCCGCTTCCCCCTGAACGGCTACTGCCGCCTCAACTCCGTGCAGGTAACGCCTTTCCACTGCCTCGGCTGGGGCTGGGCAGCTTTTTTACTGTGTCTTGTTCAATTATATGCAAATTATTTGCTTCTGCCCAATTACTTTCAGTGCTTATAGTGCAAGGAAACATTTTTCTGCCTGGTGAGATCACAGTCTTTCRGGTTTTCCTGAAAGTCTAAGCAGAAAAATACATTTAGATTTTGTGTATGTTAGTGCCATGCTGGCCTCATAATGGTGTTATACTGATAAATGCTAATTTTTTTCATCAATGTATAGCCTTTGGCAGTTTTTTTTTTTTTCTCCAATGTGCCTCTAGGAAGAAAGAGAGAGTTCCAAAAACTAGAAAAAAAATCTCCACACCATTTTATAGAAAATGCAACAATGTGTAAATGCATAATTTATGTCTCACTCATAATTAAATGATGGTGCCTGCGGGATGGACTTAAAAAAATTGATCTCTGCACTTTTTTTTTTCAAAAGGATGTTCTATAAAAATTGCCCAGAGTATTTTAAACAAAATGTATTTCATTTTATACTCAGAGTTTTGACATTAGGTTTAAAATTAAACATATGAAACAAAAGAAGATAACTGGACTGATAGGTGGGTGGCAGTAGGAATAAACAAGTGGCTGTGTTTCGGCAGCTGCCTGGGGCGAGCAGAGCCTTTTGCCAGGACCCAGCAGCCGGGGCTGTGCTGGGCAGTGTCCTGGGCAGTGTCCTGGGGCTGTCCTGGGCAGTGTCCTGGGGCTGTCCTGGGC